AATTAATGTATATATATTCCTAGTATGAGACATGGTTCTTGCATGTTCTTCTACCACCCAGAAAAGAACAGGAGTGTGATTTCGTATTGTCTTTTTGTATTCAGAAAGTCAGCCATCTCCAGGCTTCTTTTACCTACCATCTGAGAAGAAAAATCAGGGATCAGAGCCTTTAATGCTGCATTTCTGCTGTCAAGAAAGATAGTATGAGGCCCTGATCCTTCTGTTTCCCACACCCAAGTAGTCCATTCCTGCACTTCCCAAAGATCAAACCACATGCTACTATAAATATATAGCTGTAGGGGGACACCTCCTTTTTTTCAGTTAATAAATATATGGAACTTAACAAAATGAAAGATAATGCCTTAACCCTTTTCCTTACACCTACACTTACATTACAACCAGATGCCTTTTTAAGCTATGGATATTACAGGTGTGGGCGATAATTCAGATTGGCACCATGGTGGGGAGGAGTTAAAGTCCCCCATCCACCCTCCCCATCAAACAATAGCAGATTGTGCAGTACCGAGGAGCCTGTCTGTGTGAGGCATGTTCCATAACTAAGAGAATAAACATTGTACACAGAATACAACAGATGATCTCTGCAGTCATTTCAAAATGCTGGAATAATAGCAGCATTCTAGCTTCTGAATTACACTAAGTATACATAATGCAAGTTTGTCATAAAGCCTGCCGTAGGATTTAATCTAGCTGAAAAAAAAAACCTTAACTTTTGAATTGCTACTCAGAATTTTACCAATCCAATGAAAGGCATAACTCACAACAACCCCAAACAAATTGCATCAGTAGTTTCCACAAACAAAGTATTAAAAACTATAATACATAAAGTATTAAAAACTATAATAATTGTTGTAAGCCGCCCCGAGGCTTCGGCGAATGGGGCAGCATAAAAATGTTTTAATAATAATAATAATAATAATAATAATAATAATAATAATAATAATAATATCCTGTGCCACTGATTGGCGCAGAAAGGCTAAATGTGTCACTTGTTAGCACTTTTTAACATACTGCACCAGTGGCATTTTTATTAAATTTTTGAAATTGTGCCCAATTGTAGACTTCCTCAGGTGGAAAGTTGATGCCAAGGTTCAGGTTATTGGATCAACAAGTGTCATTTTTAGTTTTTTGCAAATCAGCTTAACTAAAGAGACACTCCCATATGTTTTTAATACCATCAGTTATTAAATAGCACAGTATTTCTCATCTCGCAGATGCCTCTCCTCTCCTCTTCTTATAGTTGCCATGACATGCCTCACTTCATGAATTCAGTATTTGACCTCCAGCATGACTATGTTTGCATGACATGGCAACCCATTGTGGGTAACTGATCATAGTGGCTTACTATGTTAGGGGAATCCAGACCAGCTTCCCACAGGGTGGCTTATATTGGAGCAACAAGCCACCCTGACAACACATGACTAGTTCTGGAGGTTGTTTGACTTACAATGTGTTATTACGTTATGCAAACCCAGCAGACATTCCACAAGAACAGCAAAACTCCCTGCCCCTCTTAGCTAACTTGCCCATCCCCAAGTAGCACTTTAGACCTACCATCATGGGCCCACCACCTTTTTCCAATCTTAGACAACTGTGCAATTTTGTTCATGTACTACTTACATCTGCTTGACATGCATAGTCCTGCCCTGTCAATGGCTATTAAGTTCCAGATTTCAAAAGGAAATGGATAACAGAATGCCAAGTGTAAACTGCATATACTGTATTTTTTCGCTCTATAAGACACACCTGACCATAAGACGCACCTAGTTTTTAGAGGAGGGATCCATGGAAAGCTTCCTGATAATCACAGGCACATTCCCCATCACTTCCCCATGGGCTTCATTAAAAGATGGGTTGCCATTTGAAAACACACACCGACCTGTGATTAACAGCTCTCACCTGCGCCGGAGGAGGGGGGTGGAGCAGGGCACGCTGAGTGTGTGCCAGCCAGGTGGTGCCACGTGGTGCAGCCAGGTCGGCAGTGTGCTAGCGGTGGTCTTCCGGGCGGCGCGGTGGCGGCGGCAGGTCTTCCCGGGCGGTGGGGGTGAACAGTCCGTCTCTCCGTGCAGCCAGCGGGTTAAAGTCCGCAGCTCCTCCTCCTCTGCACCGCTCCCCCTGAGCCGCACAGCTCTCACCTGTGCCGGAGGTGGGGGGCTGGAGCAGAGCACGCCAAGCGTGTGCCAGCCAGGTGGTGCCACGTGGTGCAGGCGGGCCAGCAGCGTCCCGGGCGTCGGGCACACACACATTCGCTCTATAAGACGCACAGACATTTCCCCTTACTTTTGAGGGGGGAAAAGTGCGTCTTATAGAGCGAAAAATACGGTATGCTAATTTGTACACAGTTGCCAGCTATCAACTGAAAACGAAAGCTGCGAAATGGGTTGGTTACAATATCACACTTTTAACAGAGTATTACTCTGGCTTTTAAGTGTTGAACTGACAAGTCTTATTATGCTCTACCATTGCAACACTTCATCAAGTTTCCAGCTACAACGGAAAAGGAAGATATTAACCTGCCCACTGCATTTTTGAAACACTTATCGCTATAGTTATTGTAGGTCCCTGACAGTTCTAAAAACAACCCCAAAGAGGAAACTGAAGGGGACTGGGTATTAGTATTACTAATGCTGGTGCCCCTTTTGTCCAATTCAATTATGCCACCTTTAAGGGGTTTTGTGTTTTTTAACACATTTGGACTGAGAAATATATTTAATGCTGGGATGAAAATGATGGAAGAATGTTCGCCAATGTAAGGGCGGGGAGGTGAATGGAAGGAAATCTGTATACCTGTATAGTAATAGAGCAGTTATTGCAGGTACACAAATGTTTTCCCCATTTGCTTGCCAGCCCCTATATTTGCAAGTATAACATAAAGGTATATATTTTTTTAATGCTCAGGGTACCACTGTAACAAAAGCACTAAGTTCCATAAAAGGAATTCAAAAAGATGGAGCTGAGTTGATATCTCCTTTTTCTGAAGCAACTGGAGACAGGAAAGTATTGAAAAGGTAGAGGACATTGAGAATTGTCAGTAAAATATTTAAAAGCCAGAAAATTACACTGCTAAGCAGGTAATATTGTTACCACCCACTTCTTTTACTTTTGAGAGCTGATAATTGTCTTGACAATTTCCATGTATGGTTTCTACTTTGTTTTGCTGCTTCCTTTGATAACTGACAAGATGAAACATATCAGACTGCTTTAAGTGGGCACCTGCACACCTGCAAATGACCAGCAACAAGATTGATTTATCTGCCAAACAAACCCTGGATAGGGTAACAGACCATGGTTTAAATAAACCATGGGTTAGTGTTACATGAGGACTTAGTAATTATCTCCTGTCTCTACCCATTATATTAAACAAATAAAGCTATTAAAGTGAATATAGGTGCTTTGCCTGTTTGCTGTTCAAGCATAAGCACTCAGAAGCTAAAGCAACTACTTTAAAACATAAAATACATAAAGGGCGGAACAGCGACAAATTGAATTCTTTATTGACAAAAGTGTGTCTATTGCATACTGTCAAAGCATAGAAATAATGCATATATGCATCCTTGTTTCAGAAATTTTGCCTAGACAATACATCAGTTTAATGGGAATTTCTAAAAAGTTATGCCAGAGTCTGCAATAACCAAAACATAGTTCTACCTATATTATCAGATCCACTTTCACAAGTAAATATAATATGTGAATCCCACTTACATTTCTCCAAAGTCGGTGAAGGGGTTGTTTACACCTGGATATTTTAGCTTTTCCTAGGGGTATGGAGGAATAAGTTTGTACCAGATATATCTGAACAAGTATTTGCATTACTCCTGAACTGGTCGTCATAGAAAGAGCTGTAATAGAGTAACAAAATCACCAGAAAGTCCCTCAGATTCATTGCTGTGATGCAATTGTCTCCTAGTAGTCCTCTAAAGAGAAACCTGGTACAAGCCATACATTTGATCTTTTTTTAAAGGGTTAATCCCTATCCCTTTCTTTAAACAAACAACTGAAAGAATAACAAAGATATTGTTTATTTCATAACAATTCTGCTTAGGTTAGACTGAGATGGAAAGTCTTAAACTTTAGGAACCAGCTATAATCGCTACAGTGTAATGATCTGTCTTTGCTTGAATATGCTTTTGGGAAATTAATGAAACATAACAGCTAAGAGTTGTGAACCAGGAAATCCCTAACAGGCCACCCTGGCACAAGTTCACCAGGTGGCCTTAACCATTCTCTCCTTCTCTCTCTCTCCCCCCTCTCCCTCATGCTTTCCACTTGTCGTACGAGTCTAATACTGCTCTTGCTTACAGTAGTAAGGGCTGCTGAGACAGTAGCTCTTACTGCTGTAAACAGATAGAAATGTCGATGCTTATTGTATTTGGTTGGGGAAAAAACACAATTTGATGTTCTGAAAGCCCACCGCCACATTCACAAAAATTAAGCCTCACAGTCACAGGCTAGTTTTGTAACAATGTTCTAAAGCACCCCTTAGGCTCCTTGTGCTATTTGTGTGCACCTTCAAATGATGCTCCTATGCAATTTTAAGAAGGGTTAAAAGTACAACACACATCCTGGCCAATGCAGGCACCACATCTGGATTACAAACATGGAGCAAGCCAAAAGTGAATCAAGAGCCACTGATGAAAATGGCTGCATTCCCCATTGGCATTCCTCTAGTTTGTTAGTTTTGCACGTACAAAGGACGCAACAATCCCACTTGTAATGCGGTTGTGCAAATACATCCACGTGTATTTCTCACTAACGCCTTGAGGGAAACGGGGAGGGGGGAATTTTCCTGGCTTTCTCAGGAAAATAAAAACCTGGCCGTGGGGAGAGTTCTTATGCCAGGCCACCTCACCTGACAGGCGATGCCACCTGTGAGAAACCCTGACGGCGCCCCCCAACGCTCGCCGCGCGAAGAGGCGGGCCCGGGTGCCCGGCCGCCGCCGCCGATCTGTGTCACTGTGTCAGGCGTCGCCCGGCTGGCTTACCTGAGGTGCCTGTGCCGCGGGAGGTGGACGCGTGTGGCCAGGAGGCGCCAGAGGCCGCCGCCGCCGCTGCTGCTGCTATCCGCGGTGGCCACCTGTGCGCGCGGGCTGCTGCCGCCGCGCTCAAGCCGGAGCGGGCCACTTTCCCCGGGGCGGCCGCCGCTGCCGCAGCCGCTGCCGGGGCAACTCTCGCTCGCGCGCGCCGGGGCGCCGGCGGAACAGGGCTCGGGCGCTTCTTCCCTGCTCGAGTCGCTGGTGGAGTTGCTCCGCCGCCGGCTGTATCTCATGGTGCGAGGGGGCGCCGCATGCCGGGCTCCTGCTCCGCTTCAGTGCCAGCGGGCCGGCGGGAAAAGGGGGTCGGCACAGACACAGAGGCGCCCGGCAGCCTGCCGAGGAGGACGGCGGGGAACGAGCGTCGCGGGGCTGCTGCGGCTGCGACGGAGTTTGCGGGCTTCCCTCGGAGCATGAACTTGCAGGCGCGCCGGCTGCAGCTGAGGCTCTTCTTCGTCTGAAAGTTGCTGCCCCGACGGCCAGAGGGGGGCATCCTCCCAGGCGGCGCCGGGCGGGGAGAGTGGCCAGGGCGCCCCTCTGCTCCCCTCAGATCATGGGGGGAGCCTCCGCACGGCCGCCCGCTCGCCCGTCTCCAGCCGGGGATAGGAAGCGTGTAGTTCCCGGCGTAGCAGCGCAGGAGATACTGGCGCGGGGAAGGTCCTTTTCCGCTCGGCGCTTGGGTAAGAATAGGCGAGGATCTCTCGCCACGGGGAGCGGGAGCCGCCGGCGCGCGAATGTGAAGCTGCGAAATGGGTCAGAGATGAAAAGGGACGCTCGGATCGCCGCCCCGTCCCCCTCCCCCGCACGCTTCTCCGTCGCGGGAAAGAAGGTGGGCTTAGCTTTTGGGGGAGGAACGGGGAGCAGGAGAGAAAGCGCCCTCCCCTTGTTTTTGCACAAGTGCAGGAAACGTTCCACTGACCTACATATTTCCCAAACATACGTGACCTGCCCCCTTCCGCCCCCTCCCGTCCCTGGAGGAGGAGACTAGGGAGGACCTACCTAGAAAAAAAAAACAAACAAACAAACCCAAAAAAACAAAAAGATTTTGGGCCTGAGTTTGAGATCGGAGGTTAGGTAGACTGAGTCGGAGCAGAAATAAATTAGAACTTGTGTATATGCATGCAGATAGATAGATGAATGGATAGATTAAAGGACGCGCACGGAATGAGAATTACACGGGGAACTGGCGATGGTAGATAACACGTCTCATCCTAGTTACACGGTGCTTTCAGCCGTTTTGTTTGAAGTGTTGCAGCCAGGCATTGCCGCCTGATCCCGTAACATGTTTCAGGAGGTTTTTCCTTTTTTTTTCAGATTTGTTTAGCTAAGTGATCCAACATTTGTTGGACGCCTTCCAGGTGAGCATATGGCTACCTTTCTATATAATCCTGGAACTGTTCGTACAAATTTAAACTAACGATTCTCACTCAAGGTTTGGGAATTTCATATATTCCACTCTGCGCTCTAGGTCCTGAGAGGATTTTTCCATTATGTTGACCTTCCGTGGGTCAGTTTTCGACTTTTGGTGTCCAAGTTGACTTAATGCAATCTAAATTGCATTAGATTTTCTGAAGCAGCAGCTGCACCCAAGAAGTAAACTTGTATAGGTTGAGTGTGTCTTCCCAACCAGACAAGCTGTTAATCTGCAAGTCATTTCTATGTTTTAACATTAATTATAGAATGGTATATAGAATGGGTAGTGTCCAGCCTGTCACAATATGACTGCTAATGTTGCAGTAGTGTAAACCAGCACTAGCAAAATCTTACTAACAATGACAGGCAAAAGGGGAAACCAATGATCTGCTGCTAAATTTCAGCTAAACAGTTTGTTTTAAAAAATGGTGGCAAATCACTGTTTTTTCCCTTTATGAAACAAGTGTTGATGATGTTACATTAGCAGTTTACACTATTGGCTGGTTAGCTGTGGTACCAATGGATACCACCTAATATACTGAACTTAAAATTTATTTTTGAGAAGTGTTAAAACTCTTAAATTCTATATTTTTTATTACTAAGCACTAACTAAATTAAAGGGAAAAGATAAGGTTTTAAGGTACTCTTGGAAGTTTGTAATGATGGCGCATTGTGGATATCAACTGGACTAGCATTCTACGAGTGGGGAGCCACTACCAAAAGGGCCACAATGCTGCAATATTCTATTTTTATTTTATTTTCCCCTTTTGTTGTTTTTGGGGGTGGGGTTAGTTTTGGTAAAAATAAGCTAGTGAGTAAAAGGTAAAAAATAAGCTAGTGAGTAAAAGGCCAATAACAGTGGTTAATTAGGCCTGGATTACACTGGCAACCAATACAACTAGTGCGATAGAGGTGTCACATGATCCAACTGCATGGCACTACCCATACCTGAGTGACTGCACTGGTACCATGGATGTCTCCAAACACTCTTTAAAGGCAAAAATCCACTGGATTTTAATTATGTGAAATTTCCTTTTCAGCCTTGCTTTTTAATATAAAAGTTATTGAGATATTGTATTAATCTATAAATACAGCACAAGCAACCTATAACAGTATCTATCTTCCTTATATTTTCCTTCCCTCCCAAGTTCACCCCCAGCAAATATAGAGAATATCAGGAGAGAATGTGACACACTCAGAATACTGTACGCAGCTCAGGTCACTGTACATCTAAAGAGCTGAGTTGGGAAAACTTCAAAAAGGGCTACTAAAATGATTAAAGGACTTGCCTCTGAGGAAAGAGGAAAACAGCTGAGATGGTTTACCTTAGGAAAAAAGGGGGGATACCAGTTGAACATATAGGAAGAAAAAAGGTCTCCCTTGTCTGGTATCCTTGCATATAAGAAGCCATTCTGTTTTTCCATTTTCTGTCCTAAGAGGAGTATCTTGCCCACAATAGAGGTTATGCACAGAACAATCAAGTGCTGAGGCATACCCGTTTCTTTCAGAACTTTCCATAGATTCTTATGATCCACACAGTCAAAGACTTTGGTGCAGTCTGTAAAGCACAGACTGATCTGAAATTCTTTGGTAGTCAATGTAGATTTGCAATATGATCTTGAGTGCCCCTGCCTTTTTGGAATCCACAAGGGGTAAACTGTGTTACAACATCACACATATCACTTTGTTTGCATTGGAAATTAGTGCAGAGATGAAATTTTTCTCCTTTCATACTATTACAGCTCAGTGGGTTCATCACATGAAGCTGTTTGGTGTGGGATTCAGGATAGATACAATGATGTACTTTGCCACCCATCTCATAAACTATGGAGTCTAGTGATGACCATCAGTTTAGATGGTTTTGAAAGGAACTGGACAAATTCATGGAGGATAAGGCCATATATGACTCCTGGGACTGATGGCTATATGCTACCTCCAGTATCAGAGGCAGCATGCCATTGTACACCACTTAATAGAGAACTTGGCCAGAAGGGTGTAATTACACTCATATTCTTCTTGTGGGTTTACCATGGACAGATGGTTGGCTACAGTGTAAACTGAAGATTGCTCTGATCCAGAATGACTTTTCTAATGTTCTCAGGAGAGGGAGAATGGAAAAAATAGAGAGCAAGAGAAGGTGAGTTAAAGCCACAAGATACCCAGAAAAAATTACAAATCAAAAACTTCAGAATGCATACTTTTAGTACTTCATTCTAGTATCAGTTATTAAATGTTGTTTGTTTCTGACTGCCAAACCCAGTTCCTCTAGCCAAGTGAACTTTGATAAGTGGTGAGGATGTGCCTACCACTTTTGAAAATGCGTTATTTATGTATATGTATTAAGAAAGCTTGTAAGACCCATAGTTTCTACAGACTAGATTTCCAGAAAAATCAGAAAATGTGGGACAAATGTCTGAACAGTTTGGGTCTATGGAAATGGGAGCAGGGCAGAGTCAAGATCAGGACTGTGACATTCAGCAAGGGCAGGTTAAGTCTCTCCCCTGTGCTATAGGTCCAGTCAAATCACCTCTTTGAACTTGCACTCAGGCATGGAATGGAAACTTTAGTAGCAGCTTCCTTCTTGCTGCAAGTAGCAATTGTATTCAGGATTCTGCTGCCTGGGCTTTGATTGCCTCCAGCTGCTGTTTAAAAAAAGCACAAATACATCAAGTGCAATCATATATTTAATGTAACAGGTAATTTGGCCATATAATTGCTACACATATTTCCCTTCTGTGTAATGAAAAGGCCACATTGTCTAGAGTATGCATTCTATTAAAATGGTTCATTTGTTTGGGTTTCCCTGGTTTGCTCCCAACTGATCTAACAGGCAAAACTCTTCAATGGATCCTATCAGAAGCCAGAGTTTGTGAGCTATGACTGGAGGTGGAGGTGGCAAGGACAAGTGTTATCATAATGCATATATTCAGCAGGGCTTTCTTTATTATGTGTTTTGTGCAGAAGCTGTCCTTGAATAACAAGAGCGACACAAATCTTCCAAGCCACATTTGGTCTCTAGTACTGAATAGAATCATTTCTTTTCTTGGCATCACTGCAATTTATGCATGTCTATTCTGTAGAATTCTCCACTGAGTTCAAGTTTCTTCTAGTGAATGTGCTGCCATAAGCATGAAGTGTCTATTGAGAAATTGAACCTGTTTATCTTACAGCTTCCTCCACTGAAATCAATGGATAGAAGAGACTATTTGCAGTTACTATGTATTTCAGTAAGACAGAAATGTGAATGTTTTCTGCTCTTCGGGCCATAAGAAGCAACTCTTTACTTGGTTATGTGAAACAACATTGCCATTAGGGGGAAAAAAACTTGCTTACAGTTCTTGTGAAGAAAAAATGGTCAGTCTCTACTTCTCACTTGCTTTGCTTTTGTTTAACATGCCTTTTGAAAACTAGCCATTGAGTATGGGAAAATCCTATGGGAAGTATGGGAAGATCCTAAAAGCAAAAATGTGTAATTTCAGGCTGGCACTCGGATGAAATGCTTTTGTTCATGTTATAGGGGAATGGAATATCATTTCTGTCTTCAGTTCAAAATATATACCTATGCCTGTTGGTTTTATCTTTTTTGTTACTCCTCCCTCTCCTCCTTCTCCACTGCTGCTGTTGCTGCTACTTCACAGGCTGATTAAATCCTCTATGTAAACACAAAAACAAATCC